GGCCGGGTGTGGTGTCTAATACCTGTAACCCCAGTACTTTGGGAGGCTGAGGAGGGTGGATCAAGAGGTCAAGAGATTGAGACCAACCCTGCCAACATGGTGAAACCCCATCTCTACTAAATATACAAAAATTAGCTGGGTGTGGTGGCACATGCCTGTAGTTCCAGCTACTCAGCTTGAACCCAGGAGGCGGAGATTGCAGTGAGCAGAGATCATGCTGTTGCACTCTGGCATGGCGACAGAGTGAGACTCTGTCTCAAACAAACAAACAAACAAACAAACAAAAAGAAGGTGCCAGAGAGCTTGCTCTAGTCTCCTTCCCAGCTCTCCCTCCCAGCTGGATGCACAGCAATAAGGAGGCTATCTGCAAGCCAGGAAGAGAGCCGCACCAGAATGGAACCTTGCTGGTGCCTAATCTTGGACTTCCAGCCTCCAGTGTTGTGGGAAATTTCTGTTGTTTAAGCTACCTAGTTTATGGTATTGTGTTAATGGCAGCTCAAGCTGACTAATGCAAAGATATTCTATGTCAATTTTCGTGTAAATACCTTAGATATGTTATTAATAGCATTGTTGAATTCCTTATGTTTTTCAAGGAAGTATAACTCTCATTGTTAGGGGAGGGTGGGAGTAGATTATGTACCTTATTTCAAAGATGGTCGAAATCTAAGAAACTGAGAACAACCACAACCACAGAATGTGTATATCATTATTTCAGCACTTTTCTAAAAGCAACTCTGACATTGGGATGTGACTTCTAATAGGCAAGGTCTTGGATTAGATCTGTGGTTTTCAACCCTAGTTGCATATTCAAATCACCTGGGGAGATTTTAGCAAATATGGTTATCTTGATCCTATCCACCCTCAGATGTTCTATTTAATTGGTCTGAGGTGGGGCCCAGGCATGAATCAGACAGACCTAAGGAACAGGTAATTTAATTAATTAATTAATTTGTTTGTTTGTTTGCTTGTTTGAGACAGAGTCTCACTCTGTCACCCAGGTTGGAGTGCAGTGGTGCAATCTTGGCTCACTGCAACCTCTCCTCCCAGGTTCAAGTGATTCTCCTGCCTCAGCCCCCGAGTAGCTGGGATTAAGGGCGCCTGCCACTATGCCCAGCTAGTTTTTGTATTTTTAGTAGGGATGGGGTTTTGCCCTGTTGGCCAGGCTGGTCTCGAACTCCTGACCTCAGGTCATCTTCCTGTGTAGGCCTCCCAAAGTGCTGGGATTATAGGCATGAGCCACCGCCCCAACAGGAATAGGTAATTTTAAAGTAGATTTTAAAACCCTCGCAGGTGAAGGTAAATGTATAGCCAGGGCCAAAAACATTAGATTAAATACTTTATAAACAAATGTTTATTCTGGGTTGAGGCTTCTTGTGAGGTTTTTTAAAAAGTGGATCAGGATATCCACTTCTTGTGAGGTTTTTTAAAAAGGGAGAAGGATATCCCCTCAATGCTGATGACTAACAGCTTTTCAATAGGCTATCCCTGATTAACTTCGCATGTTTTATCTAGTTTCCCTGCTAGTTCACTGATGGACAAGGGTTAAAAGCAGTTGTGTAGCCACCAGAATAGCTACGAATCAAAACAAAGTAGAGCAGAGGGAATACAACGCTATGTAACAGAGAGCCAGAAACCCTATCAGGGAGTTGGTGGCTTCTCCTCACTTGATTTCAATAGTATCAGGACTCTGGAACAAAATACTAGAGGTGCTGAGAAACTGGTGGAATTCTATACCATGTATATCATCAGGAGGCTGTGCTATATGCAGAATTCCATGAAACCTTAGCAAAGAGCCAGAGATTCAAGTATTTTAAAAGGAGATTTTTTATTTTGTGGAGTCTGCTGGTTGATTCGAGAAATGACAATCAGGTGAGTATATTTCTGACTAAAGTCAGTGTTATCTGGTCTATTTGTTAATGAAATTGAGCATGTTTCTGCTTAGCTATGTATTTTGCATCTCACCCTTTATGTTCTCATTCATGATGGTGAAGTCACCTTTTAGAGACATCAGATACATACATGTATTTGATGGCAGTGTTTACTCTTCACTCTGTTGGACTGTGAATTGTTCAGATATTGTGAAAGTAGATCATGTATTTACATTGCAGGTATTTCCTTTCTCCAGCCCCTGCTATCCCACACTGAACAGCGAAACAAAGAGTGTAACGCTTTATCTAGTTTGACCAGTTCCTCCACGCTTTTTACTTTTCCTTTTTGCTGCAGGTTAATCTTCAATCAGCAGGTCTCCCTGTAAGAAGTGGAACTGTTTTGTGTAACCTGAATTGCATTGAATCCCTTAGGTCTGTCTGATTCTAAACCAGTTTGGTTCTTACAGTGAGAAATCAACATGGCACTGATGCTGGTCCTTTTTGCCCAGGTAAACTTGATACAGTCTGTTTCAGTATTGGCTGAAAAGACCAAATCACCATTATTTAAATTCATTCCCTGAGATCCTGAAAGCAGAGACTCAAAACTGATAGAAAGCCTTGCCTTTTAAAAATGTGCATGCAAGACTACTCAGAAGGAATTAAGTTCGAGCAAGCTAACAATGGTAAACAAAGCCTCATTTCATTCTTCCCGTGAGAATTTGTTTTCTTTTTCTTCCAAGTCTTGCCCATTCTAACCCAGCTTTACAGTTCCATGGGTTAAGGAGAGGAGAGATTTCTTTTATTGAAATAAATTTTCATTGAAAACTCTTGTTAATACAGTGAAACATTAGCAGTGAACACAAAGGCAAAAGTGAATTGAGCGACAAAGAGGCCCTTTGAGCTGAAGGGCTGAAACTGCCTTTGCAGAATATAACTAAGAGGACTGTTGCGGTGAAAGATGTCTGACCTAACTGACTCCATCTTGCTTCCAACCTCCAAGCTGTCCTTGTTCATTCCTGGGCATAGGCCGAACTAACTTTGGGAGGAACTTAGTTTACATTTTAACTTTGAAGCAAAAATGCTAACAGCCCTTTCCCAAAACAAACCCTTTCTTGCCTGTGGAATAGACTGCCTTTGTAGGACTAAAGAATTCACCACAAAATTATAAATTATGGTTTACGAGTCATGCAGCTGGATGCTACAAAATTCTGACCCTCCCCAAATTGCTCCTGGGGCTAACATCACTACTGTAAAACCTAAGATCAGTGCTTGAGAGATTTTGTAGACCCTGCACCTGGTGGATCAGCTGGTACCACCCAGATGGATACACTGGCTCATCGGGTCTTGTGGCCCCAACCCAGGAACTGACTCGCCACGAGACAGCTTCTACTCCCTATGATTTCACCCCCAACCCAGCCAACCAACACTCCTGACTCACTGGCCCCCCACCCACCAAATTTTCCTTAAAAACTCTGATCCCCAAATACTCGGGGAGACTGATTTGAGTAATAAAAAAACTCCTGTCTCCGCACTAGCCAGCTCTGCTTGAATAACTTTCTCCATTGCAATTTCCCTGTCTTGATAAATTGGCTCTGTCTAGTCAGTGGGGCAAGGTTGCAACCACTGGGCAGTTACAAAGGTATTTTGCCCAGTCCTGAAACAATCTGTGTTATTGGCCTTGAGCTATGGGACATGTTTGAGTTTATTTTTTGGATGTTTGTGAGGCACAAATAACTCAGGGAGGAGCCATATGTCATTACCCAGGATCCATTCTAGAGGTAATGTAGAGATTTTCTTTTTGTTGTTGTTGTTGTTGTTGTTGTTGTTTTTTGGAGAATGGAGCTTCACTCTTGTTGCCCAGGCTGGAGTACAATGGCATGATTTCGGCTCACCGCAACCTCCACTTCCCAGGTTCAAGCAATTCTCCTTCCTCAGCATCTCAAGGAATTACAGGCACATGCCACCAAGCCTGGCTAATTTTTGTATTTTTAGTAGAGATGAGGTTTTGTCATGTTGGCCATGATGAAACCTCCAGGCTGGATGAAACTCACCTGAGCTCCTGATCTCAGGTGATCTGCCAGCCTCATCCTCCCAAAGTGCTGGGATTACAGGTGTGAGCCACTGGACCCAGCCTCTTTTGGGGTCTTTAGACAGGGTTTTGCCCTGTCATCCAGGCTGGAGTGCAGTGGCGTGATTATAGCTCACTGTAGCCTACAATTCCTGGACTCAAGGGAATCTCTTACTTCTGTCTCCTAAGTAGTTGGAACTACAGGAACATGCCACCACACTTGGCTAATGTTTTTACAAATTTTTGTAGAGACAGGGTCTAGTTTTATGGCCCAGGCTGGTCTCAAACTCCTGGCCTCTAGCAATCCTCCCACCTTGGCCTCCCAGTGCTGGGATTATAGGCTTGAGCCACTGTACCCAGCCCCTAGATAATTTAAGCAAAGCTGTAGTTCCACACAGCTAGAAGAAAACTCACTGAGGGTTTATAAAGCATGGTGCTAAATACATTTATACTAGTTATTGTTCTGAGGGGAGATTTTATTATTAACAGCTTTGAGCTTTTGTTCAATTTGAAGGATTAGAGTTTCTTTTAAGGTGCTTTTGTTTAAGCTGTTACATGGGAGATGGTCTTGCAGAGAGGCTTTTAAAGACAAATTTCAATTTCAAGGGAAGTGAAATAGCAACATTAACATCAGTGCAGTTTTTTTGTTTGTTTGTTTTTTGAAACCCTGAAACGTTTTTTATTTTTTGAAATGAGTCAGAGTCTTGCTGTGTTGCTCAGGCTGGAGTGCAGTGGCACAATCTCAGCTCACTGCAACCTCTGCCTCCCAGGTTCAAGCAATTATCCTGCCTCAGCATCCCAAGTAGCTGGGATTACAGGCGCGTGCCACCATACCTGGTTAGTTTTTTATATTTTTAGTAGAGACAGGGTTTCACCATGTTGGCCAGGCTGGTCTCGAACTCCTGACCTCAAGTGATCTGCCCTCGGCCTCCCAAAGTGCTGGGATTACAGGCATGAGCCACGGGCCCAGCCTGAAACTTTCCTTTTAATCTCAAAACAAAATGGCAATACTTTTGCCATTATATATGCTTAACATTTATAAACTAAAAACTGAACTCAAAAGCATAATTAAATCACATTTTATTGCAAATGAAAAATATACAAACATTTAAGATTTATAAACTTTCTAAAATGAACAGTATAAACACTTGCAAAATATAAGACTTCATGAACAGTTTATTCAAAATATTTGAGAATATTTCATATATTCATGTTTTTCTGCAAAGCTTTGTTGGAAGAAGAAAATAGCATTTAGTTCAGTTTTTCTGGTTTTATTAAGAAAAATATTTTTGTTGGAATACTTTTGTATTGGCGTTGAGATAGTACGATGAATTCACTTTCACTCGCATTATTTAAAATGAGATAATGTGGCAAATTGAGAAATGATGAATGTATAAAAATCAGCACTCAATGGTCCTTAAGTCTCTAGTGACAAGACTGTAAGAATTCAAATGCTGATTCAAAGAAAAGTAAATTTTACTAAGTGCCTATTATCAAGCATAATGCCAGATCCTTTCCATATATTTAATACTTTAAAATGTGTTAATTTCATGTGCTAAATCTAAAGGGTCTTAGGAAAATTGTAGAATCTGAACTTATAATAAATAACCATTGACCTAAGAATAAAATTGTAAAACAAAAGTATAATGAAACTTATATTTACAGAAGTAGGAAAATCTTTCCATTTGTCCTGTGTGAGCACAACTTTGTAATCCTTAACAACACACATGCAGATATTTGCATAAGAAATTTTAAGATATATACATGATGACAAAGTATTAAATATATACATAAACTACCAGTTAAGACTAATAGTCTGAACATAGGGATCCAACATTTTATTCTACCTTAGACAGTATCTTCCCATTTGGGATTTCTTTTTTTTTTTGAGATGGAGTCTTGCTGTCACCCAGGCTGGAGTGCGGTGGTGAAATATTGGCTCACTGCAACCTGCCCCTCCTGGGTTCAAGCAATTCTCTGTCTCAGCCTCCAGAGTAGCTGGGATTATAGGCACCTGGCACCATACCTGGCTGACTTTTGTATTTTTGGTAGAAACAGGGTTTCACCATTTTGGCCAGGCTGGTCTTGAACTCCTGACCTGATGATCTACCCGCCTCAGCCTCGCAAAGTGCTGGGATTACAGGTGTGAGCCACTGCACCCAGCCAAAAATTTTTTAGTGTTAGATTTGCAATAATAGTTTGGTTTTTTTAAATGCATTTTTAAAAATGCATCAGTAACTTTTATGTAGACAGTTTTCAAATATTTCATTGTTTCTCAGCATACTTCAACTCATTAAATATTTCCCAGTCTTCCTCCTGGGCATGCATACATGTCAACACCAGTTCAATTTCCTGTCCAGGGTACACAATGAACCTTGTGTTTGGGAACCTTTGACCTGCTCATAACGTACCAAGGGCAAACAGTTTGTAAAAGGTGACACAAAGAAATGTCTGAAACTTGAATTCACCAGAACAGAGAATCACCAGAGTCCCAGGTTGGATGTCAAGAAAAATGCCATTGATTTCCTCACCAAGAAGGTGTCCTAGAGAGATCAATAACGTTCTTAATATTAAAAGAATATTAAAATTTCTGCAAGTTTCAAATGCCACTTTATCAGAAGATACTATTCTGGGGCAGGGTCTCAATCTGTCACCTAGGCTAGAATGCAGCGGTGCAATCATAACTTACTGAAGCCTTGAACTCCTAAGCTCAAATGATCCTCCTGATTCAGCCTCCTGGTATTTTTTACATTTTTTAGAGAGGTGGGGTCTAGCTTTGTTGCCCAGACTGGTCTCAAACTCCTGGCGATTAGAAATCCTCCCACCTGAGCCCCGCATAGGGTTGGAATTACAGGTGTGAGCCACTGCCTAGCCAGAAGATACTTTTCCTACAAACTTGTGTTCATAGCTTATATATCTGATATACAAGTAAAGTGAAACAGCAGTCAACAGAGTAAACACGTATATGACCTGAGGTATCAACCCATGGACCTTCCATGGATTATTGATTTTCAAAAACGTAGAATGCATTAGAATTGCACTCAACACTAAACTATGCTGAAAAGACTATAATGGATAATGGAACATTAGGGCCTTGCAGCCATCTCAGGTAGGTTGTCATTGTGAACATCAGTCATTGTTTAACAGAACTGCGGAAATGCCGAAGTCAGTTTAATTGAATTCCGAATAATAAAGTTTACCATTATTACCTTGGGTAGTCTTGAACTAGCTTAGAAACAAAAACCAAACCTAATAACATTTAAGGTTAGAGCAGAAAAACATTCAGTCAACCTGCCTTTTTTTTTTTTTTTTTTTTTAACGACAACTTTTTGGTTAGGATTTTTGTTTTGAGAAAAATAAGATTAGTATAAAAATAAGATAGCCAATATATTTTCCATAAAATCAATGTGACAGAAAATCTGTCCATTACATTAAAGACTACCAAAAATGTTATTCCTGCCATGCATTTGAAATGAGAGAGGAAAATTTTATAAACGTTTTAATGTGCAAAAAAGGTATTTTCCTGCAGTAGCCCCTGAGATCTTAGTATTTTGTTTGCCAGGAAGTTAACTTTCTATCCTATTAGAATATACCTATTTTTAAAGGTTAGTAACTAACTATAATTTCCTTAATAAGGGTGAAAGTGCAAAATTTCAAGAGAGCCCTTGTGATAATTTGTTCAGATTTTTCACAAAGATTTTTCTAGTTGCTTCCAGTCTGTGGAAAACCCACTCTTTAGGGTTAAAACATTTGCGAGAAATTGAAGTGTAGGATACAATCCTGAATAATGTAGCAATCTTTTACAAAAATCTCTATATCAACAAGAAAAATAACCTTTAGGATAATACTAAAAGAAAGGAAAAAAAAAAAAATGAACATAAGTGACTCCAAAGCTGAATTCACCCGGACTTCTTCAGAAACTCCCTTTTGTCCTGTGTCTTCCAGACCTGAGTTAATTAATGGAAACTGTGAAAACAATCACACGTCTGTGTTTTTGTGAGAAGAAAACGTTTTCCTTTATGTGAAGTACTTTTCCTACGTTCTCCCTCTTTAACTGGTAGTAAATTCCTATGGTATGTCGGTGAGTCACAATTCATAAACTCTTTATGAGTGGCTGTGTCTTGTGTATTCTAGCCCACTAACAAATAAAGCAGGCTTTTTTTTTAAAATTTCTTTTTTCTTAAAATAACTCATTAATTATCTAGTTTAAGAAGGAAGGTGCAGAAGGAAGAACAAAGCACCTGTGATCTCACTTCTCAATTTAAAAAAAAGTTTTTTAAAGCAAAAGCCCCTTGCACTTTTTCTTCTTTTTTGAGACAGGGTCTTACTTTGTCACCCAGGCTGGAGCGCAGTAGCGCAACCTGGGCTCATGGCAGCCCCAACCTTGCAGACTCAAGCGATCCTCCCACTTCAGCCTCAAGTGGTTGGGACTATAGGCATGTGCCACCATGCCTGACTAATTTTTGTATTTTTTGTAGAGACAGGGTCTCGCCTTGTGGCCCAGGGTGGTCTCAAACTCCTGAGCTCAAGTGATCTGCCCGCCTTGGCCTCCCAAAGTGCTAGGATTACAGGTGTGAACCACCATACCTGGCCTCTCTTCTTAGTTTTAATGATTTGAAATTATGACTCAACGGAGAATATGACTGATACTGTGTCTGTCAGAACACTGCTAACTTTATATTAGTGAATGACTGTGAGTCTAAAAATAGCCACCAAAGAAATGAAGAGCCACCTGGCAGAGACAAAGATATTGTGACCAGAAGAAGGAGATTATTCTGAGACACACATAGCACTTTGACTTCTTTGATCCTTAGAGAGTATTTCAAAGTTCGTAGAAATGAAAAGCAGCAGAAGTCTTCTGGAGGATAATCAATTTGATTTGCAAATTCGACTGCCAAAAAAAGGGCATTTTTACTTGGCCTCACATCTAAATTAGTTAGAACTGTAAAAATGCTAACTTTCCTAGCATTTCTTCCAGGAAGCAAGCATTCATTTTCCTCTTCGTGTGTCTCATATTGGTTAAAACTCAGTGTTTCTAGAGACTTCAGTCATCAGTTCTACTAAACAAGGTAACGTCATCATTGTATCCCGGGGCTGAACACTCCAAGTTCTCTAGTAAAACATAATTGTTTTCACTGACATTCAGAGAGATGGCTTCTTTCTTAGCAGTGGATGTAAGCTCACTCCAAGTAATGTCAGTATTTTTAAAAGCATGTAGAAGGAAGATGCCAATGATAATAGTGAAGAATCCACTCAGGGTCCCAATGATGTCTCCAGCTGTCATGCCATACCACTCTTGGAATAAGACGGCAGAGCAAGTGACTACCATGGATGTGAAGAATACATAATAAATGGGTGTCACAAGAGAGGTATTAAAGGTGTCCAGTGCCTTGTTGAGATAGTTAATCTGTGTAGTTACTGAAAGCACAAGTACAGCCAGCAAAACAAAGACCAGAGGATGTTTGTAAACTGGCTTCCATTCTATCAGCTCCTTAATGGCAATTCCCAGGCCTTTGACAGAAGAAACTGAAAACGCTCCAATCAAGGAACAGATTGAAATATAAACCAATATATTGGTCTGTCCTTTCTTTGGAGCCACAATCAAAATCAGCACCAAGGAGATCACAGTTACGATCACAGCAAAAGAAATAAACCCTGTTAGGAGGAGAAAAGAATTTGACGTTAGAAAATGCTCACAGGATTATACCTTTCTGAAATCTTGTTAGTCATGAGTTTAAGAGCATAGGTATTTTAGAAATACAAGTGAGATCAAATTAAAAACAACATTATATTGCATAGTTCTCAATATTTTATGAAGAATTTTCACAAACGTATCATTTAAATGTCACCAATACCACTATGAGCTAGGGCAAATATTATCAGAGTAATTTTTTATTTTCAGAGGAAGAAAGTGACAAAGATTTGATTTTGAATATGTCTCTTGCCTCTACCATCCCCATCTCTCCCTTTCATTGTGTAAGACGGGAAGCATGAACACAAAAATAAGTTCTGCCATCTTTTCAGGAGAAATAATAATCAAACCTCACTGTGTCTCACAACCCACAATGCAGCCCACAATGTAGAAAGTTTATTACAATATTATTACAGATACTATTTGGTGAGGAGAGAAAGTGGAGCAGAATTTGAGTGGTTCTTTAGGGTGAATCACAGACCTGGGTCTCTCAATTTCATTTCCATTTCATGCAAAGATGTGACTTCCTCTTCTTGTGGGGCATGGATAACCATCACAGTTGACCCCAATATACTTAATATGCAGCCTATTTTCCCATGAATGTTCAAGTGTTCGTTTAAAAAGTAGGAAGATAATATTGCACTGTTGGGAGAGAAAAAATAAAAAATCACTATAGTTCAATTACCTTTTGATCCCATGGCAGCTCAGAAGTCATACTGTGGTACATGCCACCATATATCCCAATGAGCTGACTGGAATACGCTATATGACACTGAAAACCCGAGATTGGTTTGAAACTCAGAACTGATGGGCAAATATGCTTCATTGTTTTTATATCTAAAAAGCTATAATATTCTATATCTTATAATCTTCCAGTGATCTTACAAGAGGTTCTACTCAAGTCATTTTCAATTTACCCATCTTTTCCTGTAAAGCCAAGAAAAATAGAAAATCATTTATTTCTTACTGGCATGATACATTTAGAATATGTATGCCCATGGATGTTTCAAAGAAAGATACATTCCTAAAGAAAAATTACTCTGCTTAGGGCTAATAATCAGCTAGTTCATACCACTACAATCAAACGGACCAGGGGTATTCAATCTTTTGGCTTCCCTAGGCCACACTGGAAGAATTGTCTTGGGCAACACATAATACATACTAACAGTAATGATAGCTAATGAGCAAAAGAAAAAAAATCACAAAAAAACTCATAATGTTTTAAGACAGTTTACAAATTTATCTTGGGCCGCGTTCAAAGCTGTCCTGGGCCACATGCAGCCCATGGGCCATGGGTTAGAGAAGCTTGACGCAGATTTTCAAAATATCAAAATACTTTACCACCTGCTACTGCTCTGATACTTAGACCTATCCGGTACTCCTAATGTTTCAGTTGCTGTGGTTTCTGCAAACCAGCCTCCTTCCTCTAATGCCCTGTATCCCCATGAAGGCAATTAAGTGCCCATCTGTCCTCAAGATTATGATTAATTACCAGGTACTTTCCTAAAGTTGCCCTCATGTGGCCACTTGTAGGACTGCAGCCTTAGTGAAGACTACTATTACTACTACAACTAGCTATTCATTGCATAGACAAGTGTTCGAAGTGCTTTATGTGTATTAACTCACTTAATTCTCACAACAATCCTATAAAGAAGCTAAAAAGAATTTAGTAGGCTCAATCATAAGTTTTCTACTAGAGGTTGATAATGAATAGAAAAGAAAAAGACAAGAACAGATAAAAATGTATATGCTTATTAAACACATTCATTTGGGATCATAATAAACTCAGAAAAATTAGATCCACATTCCATGAAATAGGAAAATTATTCCTGTTTCCAGTACTAAAGATACCGGGTCTCCAAACAGAAGTATCCAGCAAACAATGCAAGAATTTTAGTGAGAGTTAAAATTTAACCAAAACACCATGCTTTTAAAAGTCCTCTGATAACTACAGTCATTAAACACTATGATGAGAAAAAGAATTGACAGGACTCTGGCAATTTGTTCTGATGAGAGATTTAAAAAATCTTCTATGCTTCATTGCATTGTTACAAATGTAAAACACATTTATGTTAGTAGGAAATCAAACTCACTGTGTCTTAGGTTTTTAAAATAATAATGTGACAGTCTATTTCCTATTTCTACGGTTATTGTCTTCTCAAGTTATTTTTGTGATTTCAGGCAAGAAAAAGTATTATTCTCACTTTATGAATGAGTAAACTGAGGCTGAGTGACTTGTCCAAAGCTTCCCAGGAGTCTCAGAAATAATTTGGGTTCATCTAGACTTTTAGAGCCCAGGTTGGTCTAGATTTGTGTGTTTGCTTTTAGATATCCATAGCCGTATGTTTCTTATGGTTTAAGTTTATCTTGGTCTTAAAGTACCTACAGAAGCCAAGTTCCTTGTTGCTCACATACCTTATAAGAACACTCAGAGCACCCAGAGGGGTGACCAAGGTGGCAGGTGCAAAAGCATAAGCAGCAAAATTTGCAGCTTCTCCTGCTCCCACTAGAAAGCAAGCAGAGATATTGACATAAAAAATGGGCTTGCTTGTCAGAAGAGAAAAACAAACGAGTCATGCAAAGCAGTGGACTTTTAACCCAAAGACATGGGAAGATGCAGCTAAAAAGAATGATGTAACGTGTTTTATAGCGGGCAGGAGATAATTAATATTAAGAGATACTAAAAAGAATGATGTAACGTGTTTTATCATAGCGGGCAGGAGATAATTAATATTAAGAGATGCAGACAAATTGTAATACCAGATGATACAAACTCAAAAGATGCAAAAAATGGTGACAGATGAGTACCCATTTTAAATGGCTTTCAATAGAAATTTTTAGCTACTGAAGACACATTTGGTGACTCTGATCAACTCTAGTAGAGGTAGCTTTGTAGTAAGCAGATAATTCTTTCACTTGCTCAAGAATACCTACAGTTTTGTAGGTTACCCACAACCACCAAAACCAGTTTGGAAAATTAGAATGGTTAAACCTGGTGTGTAGGTAGGGAATAGCCAGCAATACCTGCCACAGTCCCATGAAGTTAGATATGCCTCTATTGTAAGTGATCTACAAGCAAGTAACAGTATCTCAGTAGCTTCACAAGATCCAAGGAGCTGTTTTAAAGTCATGATGTGCTCCTGAATGTAATCTTTTTCTTATCCGAGGAACTCTAGACTTGCATGATATAGTGTGCTATAAATAACTTCTAGAGTGAGAGAAATCCCTTCAAGAGCTGGGCTCTTGTACTGGGGCCAAGTTATTCTCACAGAACACAGCTGGAAACTTGCCCACAGAATGTAGTATTTCATGCTGGCAACTACACCAAGCAAATGCTTATTGTAGAGAGAGAAAGGAACACTAGCATAATTTTTTTCTTTTTCCATTTGTCTGGCTGCTATGCTACGTCCCCCCAAATCTATAGGAGTACTCACCATTAGGAAAACATCATTAAACAAATCTAAACTTACAGAACAGAATAATTAAGACAGTGCTCTCATCGAAGGAACCACGGCGAGGCCAGTGACTCATACCTGTAATCCTAGCACTTTGGGAGCTAGACGGGAGCAGATCACTTGAGGTCAGGAGTTCGAAATCAGCCTGGCCAACATGGTAAAACCCCATCTCTACTAAAAATACAAAAATTAGCCAGCTGTGGTGGCAAGCGCCTTTAATCCCAGCTACTCTAGAGGCTGAGGCAGGAGAATCACTTGAATCTGGGAGGTGGAGGTTGCAGTGAGCCACTGCACTCCAGCCTGGACAACAAGAGCGAGACTCTGTCTCAAAAAATAAAAAACTAAACAAATAAAAAGAAAAAAAAAAAACAACCGTGGCAGTTTTCTTGGAATATTAAGGTTTCCTTGGATATTTTATATTATTTATATTTTATCTTTATAAATAGCTTTCCAGGAAAACATTGACTTCATGATTAAAGTACTGTATGTATGTCACTTACTTAATCTCTAAGGTGTGCTTTTCTCTCTTCAATACTGACATAAACATTTTTACATGGTGAAAGCAAAATTGCAAATGTAGTTACATAATATTCTCCTTATAATTTCATTATAAAGTATGGGTAGAGGGTGGGGAGATGCAAGTAAAAGAGAAAAAGAGAATGATCCAAATACCTATCTGGAATCTTCCCAGACAGCCCTGGTCAATTTTTATTCAAATAGATAAAGTGGATGTAAAAGCACCCTAAAAACTGAAGGGGGTGGCTGGGCACGGTGGCTCACACCTGTAATCACAGCACTTTGGAAGGCCGAGGTGGGTGTCCTGAGATCAGAAGTTCCAAGACCAGCCTGGCTAACATGGTGATACCTCGTCTCTACTAAAAATACAAAAATTAGCTGGGTGTGGTGATGTGCACCTGTAATCCTAGGTACTCGGGAGGCTGAGGCAGGAGAATCGCTTGAACCTGGGAGGTGAAGGCTGCAATGAGCCAAGATCGTGCCATTGCACTCCAGCCTGGGCCACAGAGCAAGACTCCACCTCAAAACAACAACAACAACAACAACAAAAAACTATAATAAACAAACACTAAAGGGGCTATACATATTTAAATTATTTTCATTAATCACACTTTTAGACTCCACCATTTATTAAAGAAAAGGTACCCAGTTCCTTCCCATAACAGGATCTTACAAATACTGAAATGTGTTGCTTGGTTTGGGGAAATTCAGGGAAGCTTTAAGACTCCTGGCTACAGAGGGAATTTATGATGCCGTTTCTGAGGGGAGCTTCCGTTTTGGGATTTAAGAAATTTCACTTAGTGGGGAGACTGAAGTCAGCAAAAGTGGCTGAGGGAGATGAACACTGCCTTCTATTTGGGTATCACATTAGCATTTAGAAAGTGCTTTCAGATCCTACAAAGTCTCGTTTAATCCTCACAGCAGGTCTGGGAGGAAGGAGAGTGCTGACACCCCTCATTTCTTCTCCATTTGTTCAGTACCAAGCAGCCACAGAAGCCTTTCACTTATCCATGTTGTTGTCCTGGCAAGAAACTGTACTTGTTCTTGAGAAAATATGTAGTATATATAGTCACAGGTTCAAATTAGGAGGTGGGAAAACATGAAAGAAAAGTACTTTTCTCTATTGTTATGGTGAAGAAAATAGCAGAAGTCTGTGGTTAAAATACAATATTTGAAAGGTCAACTTTTTCCCTTGCATTCCAAGACAGTACTGAAGGCACAGGTGGTGGGAAATAAGAGTAAAAATTAATTTATTCATATATAATAGTATATATAGGACAACATATTATACCAACACAAAAATTTTTAGGCTTAAATTCCATCCTTGTTCCATTCTTGACAGGAAGATTAACCAATTTTGAAAAATTTCATATAATCTATTTACTGTCTTACAAATGAACAGTATTCTCAGTATTAAAAACTTACTTGACAGCAATCCTACCCACCAGAGCCATTCCTTCAGGTAAGAATGTCCACCTTGTCCTAAAATACAAAAAATAAAAATTAACAAAAAATGGGTTCTACACTGGAGGAAGGTTTGAAGAATTGACTTCTAGGAAGCGTACTGGATTATGGTTAGAAAAGTTAAGTCAGTAAACTAAAGTCTCTTAGTTTATTTACTTGGTCATTTCCAAAGCTCTTTTAAAGCTTTTTCCCCCCCAATTTACAATGATTTAACAAATCCCCTAATGGATTAATTGCATTTAGATTTTTTTCCACGTTTCTCTTATAATGCTCTCATGAACCTCCCTACACATACATCTTTGTAACACTGGAATGATTATTTCTCCAGAATAAATTCCTAGAAGTGTAATTGTTGAGTAGGAGGAAATGCACTTTTTAAAGAAATTGCCCGCCAGAAAAGTTATGTCAATTTTTAAAAAAACTTTGCAAATTTGATAGTCTTAAAATGGTATGTCATTTCAATCTGCATTTTTCTGTTTGCCACCCATTTTATTCTTTTATGAATCAGGAGTTCATTTTTGTTTTATTTTTCCTGATTTTTAAAAGAGATTCGGGGTACAAGTGTAGTTGTGTTACATCAATCTATTGTAAAGTCTGACCTTTAGTGTATCTATTACCTGAATAGTGAACATTGAACCCAATAGGTAGTATTTCATCCCTCACCTGCTTCTACCCTTTTACCCTCCCACCTTTTGGAATCTCTAATGTCCATTATTCCACTTTAAATGTGCATGTGTACCCACGGTTTAACTCCCACTTACAAGTGAGAACACGCAGCTTTTGATTTTCTGTTTCTGAGTCACTGCACTTAGGATAATGGCCTCCAGTTCTGTCCATGTTGCTGCAAAAGATATGGTTTCATTTCTCTAACAGCTAAGTAGTATTCTATGGTGTCTGCATATAAATAAACCACATTTTCTTTATCCAGTCCTCTGTTGATGGGCACTCAGGTTGATTTCATGACTTTGCTGTTGTGAATAGCGGTGTGATAAACATTTGAGTGCAAGTGTCTTTTGATACAATGATTTCTTTTCCTCAAGTAGCGGGACTGCTGGATTGAAGGGCAGTTCTATTTTTAGTTCTCTGAGAGATCGCCATATTGTTTTCCACAGTGGTTGTACTAATTTACATCCCCACCAACAGAGTATAAGCATTCCCTTTTGTCTGCATTCTTGCCAACATCTCTTGTTTTTTGACTCATTAATAATAGCCATTCTGACTGGTGTAAGATGGTATCTCATTAGGTTTTAATTTTCCTTTCTCTGGTGATTAGTGACACGGAACATTTTTTCATATATTTGTTGGTCGCTTGCATGTCTTTTGAAAAACGTATGTTCATATCCCTTACCCACTTTTTTATGGGTTTGTTTTTTTCTTGTTGAGTTGACTGAGTTCCTTGTAGATTCTGGGTATTAGACCTTTGTCAGATGCTTAGTTTGCAAGTATTTTCTCCTATTCTGCAGGCTTTTTACCCTGTTGATTATTTTTCTTGCTCTGTAGAAGCTTTTTACTTTAAGTCACATTTGTCTATTTTTGTTTTTGTTGCATTTCCTTTTGAGGACTTAAGTCACAAATTCTTTGCCTAGGCCAATGTCCAGAAAAGTTTTTCCTAGGTTTTCTTCTAGGGCTTTTATAGTTTCAGGTTTTACATTTAAGTTTTTAATCCAACTTGAGTAGATTTTTGTATATGGTCAGATATAAGGTCCAGTTTTGTTATTCTATATGGTTCTACAATTCTTCTTGCACCATTTATTGACTAGGGCAGCCTTTCCCTAGCATATATTATTTTCAACTTTGTCAAAGATCAGTTGGTTGTAGGTATGTTGCTTTATTTCTGGGTTCTCTATTCTGTTCCACTGATCTATGTGTGTATTTTTATACCAGTACCATGCTGTTTTGGTTATGATAGCCTTACAGTATAATTTGAAGGTACTGTGATACCTCCAGCTTTGTTCTTTTTGCTTATGATTGCTTAAAACTTTCTGTATTATGTTTCCGTGTCACCTTTGCTTTTCCACAAATGATAAGTTTTTCTTAATTTGTAGGAAATTTTATTTAATCATCAGGTTCACCATATTTACGTCAGTCAGATGTGTGGACACAAATACTTCATTTCAGCTATGGTTAAAATTAAAAACAGAAAACATAAATAGTAAATTACATTGGTACTAATGAGGACTGTAAAGGGAAGAAGATGGTTGACACAAGAGCTTTTGAGAGTTTGGATTAGTCAATGAGAGAATAACAAGCATCGGTAGATGCACTCTGCTTATTTTCTACCTTGTCATACTGAAATCAAGTTTCTGTTTCATCTACTGAAAAGGACAAAATGCTTTTAAGGTATTCAAAGGGTTATCTTCCTACTACTCTAATCTATGACTTTATGTCATTATGTTTACTATAGAAAATGGAATTTTCTTATGAATTTTAATATACTTAGCCCTCTGCATTTGACCTAATTGATTTTGTTATAATTAAACAGGATATATATGCTATGAAGACTATTTTGCAAAGTAGTTAACTGTGCTTATTTAGGATTTTCTCCTTAAGAAATTGGCAAATAACTAACTTGGAATCATATTACAACCCTGGACCTGACTATTGTCTAGTTAGTATCTCTTTGGGTACTAGCGAAACAATATTTATTTATGTATGTTTATTGGTCATTACATTTGCAAATAACTAAGTTGAAATTATGTTACCACACTGAACCTATTGTCTAGTTGGTATCTCTTTGGGTACTAGTGAAACAATATTTATTTATATATGTTTAATGGTCATTTGCATTTCTTATTTTGTTTGTTTCTTGTTTATATGCTATGTCTATTTTCTGTTAGGGTACTAACCTTTTTACTTATTGACTGCAGTTACTTTTTATATATTATGAAACTATACTTTGTCACATATTTCATCATATTTTCCCCAATACATCATTTACTTTTTAGTTTCAGTTTTTAAATTTTTTCCATATAGGATTTTTTTCTCAAGCTAGATAATCTCTTCCTTTATATAAAATGAATTCTTTATCTTTATGCTTAGAAAAGGTTTTTTTTCCCGATTATTTCATTTTTTTGGCCAGGCGCAGTGGCTCACGCCTGCAATCCCAGCACTTTGGGAAGCCGAGGCGGATAGATCATCTGTCAGGAGTTTGAGACCAGCCTGGCCAACATGGTGAAACCCTGTCTCTACTAAAAATACAAAATTAGCTGGGCGTGGTGGCGCATGCCTGTAATCCCGGCTACTTGGGAAGCTGAGGCAGGAAAATCACTTGAACCTGGGAGGTGGAGGTTGCAGCAAGTCAGAGATCATGCCATTGCACTCCAGACCGGCCGACAGAGCAAACCTCTGTCTCAAAAAAAAAAAAAAATTTATTTTTGTATTAAATTGTAACCTATCTGGAATGTATTTTGCTGATGTGAAGTAGAACTTTCATGTTTTTCTCCTCTAATTTTTCCCAATTGTCTCAATACTTGGAATGATTTGACCTTTCTCCACAGTTTTCAACTTTTTAAAATAACAAATTCAATTGTTATATATACTTGGGTCTGCTTATAAGTTTTAAATTATCTTTTATGATTTTGTCTGCTTTAATGCCAGTATCAAATTATTTTAATATAGCATATGTTTTCTGATAGTACAAATCTCATCTCAATAGTACTTTTATAAGCTTGCTTGTGTAATTTATAGTCTTTAGTTTTTTTCCATATGGATGTTAGAAAAATGCTTAGATCTTAAAGTATACTTGATGAAAATGAATAGAAAACTCATTGTTAATGAAGGAATAGTCAGGCAGACCTACTCAGCATCTTAAATGTCACTATAAATAGCAGCCTAATTCTATTGTTGTCCATTTATTGATTTAATAAATATCTATTAGGGGCCAAACACTGCTAGGGAAGGTTCCCGTTCTTGAGAATCTACTATCAATAAGCAAGTAAACCTATCAACAACAATAAAGAATACATGTACAACTAAAAATTATCCTAGGTACAGTGAGGGAAACTATTAGTGCAATGACAGAGAATAATGGGGGTGGGGTGGGGAGACCTGCTGTTAGAGAATGGTCAAGGAAGGCCTTTATGAGGTGATACTACTCACACTGAAGTCTGAAGGGTAAGTCAGCTAAATGAAGGGCAGGGAGAAGAGTTCCAGGCAATGGGAAAAGACCTGCGGCTGGGACAGAACCAGACCTATTCCAGGAACAAGAGAAAAGTAGGTGATGGGGAGAAAAGCAGAAGTTGGAGAGGTGGCAGAGATCAGACACTGGGAGACACAGCTGCCTCCATCAAGAAGATAGAGACTAAGATAAATCAAGCCAATGAGTTATTATTACTGTAGCCTGGGATAATTTTTAGTTGTACGTGTATTCTTTTTTATTGCTGATAGGTTTACTTGCCTTGATAGTAGATTCTCAAGAACAGGAACCTTCCCTAGCAGTGTTTGGCCCCTAATAGATATTTATTAAATCAATAAATGGATAACAATAGAATTAGGCTGCTATTTATAGTGACACTTAAGATGCTGAGTAGGTCTGCCAGACTATCCCTTCATTAATCATGAGTTTTCTATTCATAATTTTTCATATGGAAAAAATCAATAACTATAAATTACACAAGCAAGTTTATAAGAGTAGTGTTGAGATGTGGCCTTATAACAGGATCATTTCTGCAGTTAGAAACTTAAATTCATTGGTTGCATGTGTTTCTTACCAGCTCTAGTAACACCCTTGCTGGCCAGTTGCAAGAGGCCCTTCTTTTTCAGGATGAAGCTGGAGCCAATAAAAATACTTGAACTTACTGCCAGTACCAAGCCCACATAAAGACTGTATTTGTTTTCTACATTTGCTGAAATGCTCAAGTTGTTTATGCTGGAATTCAGGTCCGTGTAGAGCACAGGAGAAGCCAGCAGCTGTGAAACATTTGTGATCTCACACCAAGCCTGGAAGGAGTTTGGACAGACCAGAGACAGCACATATCCTGGAAAAAAGGAAAGGAGAGAATGTCAGGAATGAAAGGGAGAGGTATTAAGGCTTACTGGCTTTCTGCAGGAAACAGAGCCTTGAGTGGATGGTACTGAAACATTTTACTACATGCAGGGAAGTCCTTAACAGGTGGCCCACAGGCCTACAGACATTGTCAAATTGGCTTACACAGATTTTTAAAAATGATTTTAAAGTGTTTAGCTGTCATCACTTAAAAATGAGCAATTTCACATGAAAGCCTAGATTCCCCCTATAAATTCAATCTGGCAACACTTGTGTCTTTGTTCTGGCGAATCAGCAACTTGATGGAGCAGTGAATAGCTGTTCAGACCTGGCTTGTGCTCAACAGTTCAACACAGCCTGTCACATCCCCTTCACTCTGCATTATCAGCCTGGCTACTGGAAAGCAGGGCTTGTGGGGCCTGAATGTAGGGAGGAAGCATAGCACTCTCAGTCTAGAAATCACATTGCAAGAAATCTATTCGCTGGGTGTGGTAGCTCACACCTGTAATACCAGCATTTTGGGAGGCCAAGGTAGGATGATTGCTTGATCCCAGGAGTTTGAGACCAGCCTGGGCAACATAGTGAAATTCCATCTACATAAAAAAATTGAAAAATTAACCAGGCATGGTGGCGCATGTCTGTGGTCCTAGCTACTCGGGAGGCTGAGGTGGGAGGATTGCTTGAGCCCAGGAGGATGAGGCTGCAGTCCTGGGCAACATAGTGAAATTCCATCTACATAAAAAAATTGAAAAATTAACCAGGCATGGTGGCGCATGTCTGTGGTCCTAGCTACTCGGGAGGCTGAGGTGGGAGGATTGCTTGAGCCCAGGAGGATGAGGCTGCAGTAAGCTGCGATTACACCACTGCACTCCAGCCTAGGTAACAGAGCAAGACCCTGTCTCAAAAAAGAAAAAAAGAAAAAAGAAATTGGCTGGGCATTATGGCTGTAATCCCAGCACTTTGGGAGGCCAAGGTGGGTGGATCACTTGAGATCAGGAGTTCGAGACCAGCCTGGCCAACATGGTGAAACCTCATCTCTACTAAAAATACAAAAATTAGAGGGGCATGGGCATGGTGGTACGTGCCTGTAGTCCCAGCTACTCTGGAGGTGGAGGCAGGAGAATCACTTGAACCTGGGAGGCGGTTGCAGTGAGCTGAGATCATGCCACTACACTCCAGCCTGGGTGACAGAACGAGATTATCTCCAAAAAAGAAAAAAAGAAGAAGAAAGAAGAAGAAAGAAGAAGAAGAAAGAAGAAGAGGAAGAGGAAGAAGAAGAAGAAGGAAGAAGAGGAAGAGGAAGAAGAGGAAGAAGAAGAAGAGGAAGAAATCTGTCTAACTATTTTGGTGGGGTGTGAGTCATTTGATGGGCATGAAGAATTATATATTTCAGAAAACGTTTTAAAAGTGAGTTTAGTTTTCTGTACCACTTTCACTGATTTTTCAGGTCTATTAATACACTGTCTCCTAAAGAAAATAGAATCTAATAAAAAATGAATTAAGTATCATTAGGTTTTTTAAAAAATGAGATTCAAAGAAGTATGTAAATCCCCTGAACCAAGTCCACTATTATAAATGTCTTGGAATTTTGAGGCTAAACACTAAAACACAAAATGAAAACAAAATGAAATGAAGTTTTACACTATGTAAGAAATTTTTGTAATCTGTTCTCCACTCGAAAAGACATCAACAAGGTGACATTGTGACAAGATGTTCTGTCTTCCCATCTTTTTTCCTTTAAAAATGGCAAATTCTCCCATTATGAATTACCCTAAACAAAAGAGGGTAAAGGAAAATTAATCAGATACAATTTTGTAATTCAATTTTTAGAAAAGTTTTACATTTCAAAAATCTTAAGGCATATAAGCAACAAAAGGCTGTTTGATCAAATGATGTCTTAGCAACAAGACTTCCATAAGTGGACCTATATACCTCTGGCAAAGCTTCATGAAGCCACCTGAATTTTACCACATGCAAAGTTAAGAAACACCCATGAAGTTCAGGTCTGGAAAATAATAAAATAATGGAATTCAAGGTTTTCATGACTATTATTTAATTTATTTCTGTAATTTGAAAATGACCCAACTTTGCTTCAGAAATCCAGAATAGTTGGACATGGTGTCCCACCCTTGTAATCCTAGCACTTAGGGAGGCAGAGGCTAGAGGTTTCCTTGAGCACCAGAGTTCAAGACCAGCCTGGGCAATATAGCGAGATCTCCACAAAAACAAAAAAACAAACAAACAAAACAAAGAAACAGAAATCCAGAATAAACTCAAAGTCAAAACTAAATATTCTAACTGCTGCAAATTTTCATTTCTTTTTTTTTCTGAGACAGGGTCTCACTCTGTCACCCAGGCTGTAGTGCAGTGGTGCCATCACGGCTCATTGCAACCTTGACCTCCTGGGTTTAAATGATCCTCCCACCTTAGCCTCCCAAGTAGCTGGAACCACAGGCATGCACCACCATGCCCAGCTAATTTTTAAATTTTTTTTGTAGAGATGGGGTCTCACTACATTGGTCAGGCTGATGCTGCAAATTTTCAAGCAAGTTAGCCCTTAGCAATCTTGTTCCACACCACGTTTATCTCATTTAAGCCCCAAGAAGGGAAAGTGATTAAGTATATTTTTGTAGGAATTTCATTCCGGAAAATATCGGACCTGACTTACCAGTGAATTCCATGACTGCATTCATGTCATTTACTATGCAGTTAACATAACCATTCTAAAACTTTGTCTCTGAAATCAGTGTGGGTGGATCTCATTCCAGTGAAACAATATTCCTTCTAAGTTGTTGACATAGCAAAATGTTTCTGACATTGTAGGGGGTGTGGGAGCAGAGGGTCATAAGGGAGATCAAATGATCACTGTTGCATTTTGCAAGTTCTCATTGTAACTGGCAGGCATGAATGCTCCAAGTTTTATGGCAGGAAAAATAATAAAAATCTTGTCTGGTTACTGACCTTAGGACTTAAATTGTTTTATGCTTTGGGAACATGTTAGGGAGAGAGCCTACGGCAGATATGACTGAAAGAGGAAAGAAAGGATGGGTTAGTGGATGTGGAGTGGCCTATGGGAGAAGGGGAGAGATGGGTAATGGAGGTTGTGTGGGCAGGGAATTTGGAGTGTTTTAAAGGAATCAAAGACATCTCAAGTCACAATTGGCTTATCAAGATTCAAGTAAGCACAGTAATTTTCCAGGGAGTTTAATGTAGACTTTATTCCACAGAAAGAGAACATCTACTACATTCATTATTTTTCATTTTTAATAGACACCATCAATAGTCCTCTAAAGTGACTATACCAAGGTATACTCTTGCTAGCCAAGAACATGTATTTCTTCTTTGATGTTATTTTTCTAAATAGAGAGTAATGAATATTTAGGAAATACATGTTATAAATATATATATATATACACCAATGTATCAAACAGCTAATTTAAGAAATAAAGCATCACCCCTCAGAGTTCATAACTATCCTGATTTTCTCTCTAACATTCTTTTGCTTATAAAAAAGATTTTCTCCATATATCTTGAAAATGTTTTTGCCTCTTTTTGCACCTAAGAAAATGTAATGATAAAGACATTGTTCTTCGGTGACTTGTTTTCGAGATTCATCAAGACATGATGCATGTGGCTGTAGGATTTGTTTTTCCCCCACTGTTCTAGAGAATTCCACTGTATATCACACAATTAATTTTTCTATTTTATAGTTGGTTGATAAGTAATTTACAGATTCTACAAACAGTACTCCTAATGTTCTTCTATTATGTTGAACTATATGAAATTGATAACTGAAAAATTTGAACCCTATGACAAGTAGTTTCATATAGATCAACCTAATATTTATCTTCTACGTACAGGTGTAATAGTTTACATACACACAACTTTAACATTTAAAAATGAAGATCTACCATCTATAATCATGGGCAAGTTGAGTAATGGCTCTTGGTTTCAGTTTCCCCATCTGTAAAATGAGGGACTTTGACTCAGTGATTCTAAAGTTTGATCATAATCTATGTTTGTTCTCAGAATTACTTACATACTGGTGCCTCATAAATGTTGCTGATGGACCAGTTCTAAACTCATAGACACTGACAGACAGGAGATAGTTTAAAGAAACTGATGCCAATATATTAAGTGACACTGGCCAAAGTTATGTAACTGCTAAAACCAGGGCCAAGTAACCCAAATCCCATCCAGCATTCTATTTCAGAAAAATAAAAACATAAAGTACAACAAAAAGCCAGTTGAAATTTATTATTCATTTATATGAGGATGAAATGCTTTAAATAATTTGTCAAATATTTGCCTATAGAGAATAATAATATAAATAATAATTTAAATGGTCCAGTTTATTACATGGAATAGAAATCTGGTTTTAAGAAAGTCAATGATTGTATAAAACTACCTTTTTAATCACTGCCAGATATTTCCTGTTGGGGGTCTCACCATCTATTCTACTGTGATAGTTTGGATTATTATTCATTCAATATTCTGCCCCTTACCCTTCCCAATGTGGGCAAAGGTGCTTCACCTGATGTTGGGCTGAAAGTGATTTGGTGGCCAATGGGATGTCAGCAGAAGTGATATGAAGCTAGATTTCAAAAATGCTTATGTGGTTGGGTTTACTCATTTGCATCTCTGTAATTCCCTGAGGAGTTGCTCTACATTCAGCCTCAGCACTCAAATGAAGACACATGGAGCAGATCTGAGCTCATCCCACATGAAGGAGCCAAACCCAGGTGGACGTGTAGCCTGAAGCAGAGACAGATAGGTGAGCCCCATCTAGGCCAGTCAACCTTCAGTTGACCTGGAAACCTAAGCAAGAATATGTGATATACCTGCCTATTCATATTAGCATAGGAATGACTGAATGAAATCTCTTTATGTCTGGTACAATTTATTCTCCAAACACTAATCAGTGGGAAGTAGGTTATATCACTCCCCGGCTTAATCCTCCCTGTCCCCTGTCATGGTTTTTCATCTTAACAAAATCTCAACTCCTCACTAACTTTGAACTTTAAAGCTTCTCATGCTCTGAAACTGCCTCATCTCTGACATCATATTGCATTACTCTCCCTCTCACCCCTCTCTGAAACACTAATCTTCTTTTCCTTCATTCAACAAATATGTATGGTGTACTACCTGTTGGGCATTTTCTAGAATCTGGAGACACAAAAATGAATACAACAGTGTTCCCTCTCTCTTATATTCCAGTAGGAGGAGATAAGATTAACAAACAAATAACTATATGTATGTTAAGAGTGCCATGGCAAGTAGTAAAAGCAGCATCAAGGAATAAATTTTTTTAAAACAGGATTAAACAAAAGAGCCTCTCTGCTAAGTCTAAAAGCAGAAACCCTGAGGGGTTGAAGAAACTGCAGTCAGCCAGGTTACCTGGGGTGACAGAAAGGGAGATGGTATGAGATGTGGCTAAAGACTAGGTGGGAGAAGGATCAGGTGAAATGAACCTTTAGACAAAGTAGGTCTGATCCTGTTATTCCTCCTTCCAAAATTCCACAAGGGCTTCCCTTCTCATTCAGAAAAAAATCCCAAATTCCCACTATAGTCTATAAGGCCCCGTGGAATCCTGTCTCCAGCTGTCTAATCTCATTCCCCACTATTGCCTTTTCTTCTGTTCCTTTCATAGAATAAGTTCCTTCTCAACTTAAAACTTTTTAAAAAGCAGCCGTTCCTGAGCCTGTTACGGAGTGCTGGCTGGCATAACTACCTTCTTCTAAGTGAGAGGACTAAGCAACTCAGAGAGGCCTTCCCTGCCTTCCCAATCTAAAGAAACCTCTCACTTTCCATCATATGTTCCCAATCAAATAGACTTCCTCATACAGCTTAATTACAGTTTTATAACAACCTTCATACATGTTTGAATTTGTTTCTTTTAAAGATAATTTTGGATTAGAGACTCTTTTGAAGCATCTGTAGCTTTAAAAGTCAAAACTAATGTGGGGTGAGGGGTGGCTCACACCTGTAAACCCAGCACTTTGGGATGCCAAGGTGGGAGGATCACTTGAAGTTAGGAGTTCAAGACCAGCCTGGTCAATACAGTGAAACCCTTGTTAAAAATACAAAAATTAGCTGGGTGTGGTGACATGTGCCTGTAGCCCCAGCTACCTGAGAGGCTGAGGCAGGAGAATTGCTTGAACCCAGAAGGTGGAGGTTGCAGTGAGCCGAAATTGCACCACTGTATTCCATCCTGGGCGACACAGTGGGACTCCTCCTCAAAAAAACAAAACAAAAACAAAAACAAAAAAACAAAAAAACAAAAAAAAAACAAAAACCAAAAAACAAAAAAACAAAAAAAGTCAAAACCAAAGTATGAAATTAACTTTTTCTTCATGGAAGTTCAACTGGAATGCTCTATCTTCAGATCTCATGACTGACACCTTGTCATTTGGGTCTCAGCTTGAATATCACTTTCTTAAGGGGCTTTCATTGAATACCCAATCTAAACATCCCAACACTCTTGATACATTACTGCTATTATAATGATCTTTTAAATTACTTTGTTTCTTGCATAGTAGCTGCCATCTGGACAGTAAGGTGCCTGAGAGCAGGAACCTAGTCCTAGAGTCTAGGACCAGACTTGCAGACCCCTTTATTCTAGCACCTATGCCACTGCTTGGCACATGGGACTCTTGTTATTTGAACGAACAAGTGAAATTTTGAGTCTTTGTTTACTCCATGTCAAGCTCTGAGTGGTACAGTTCATATGTAATCCCACCTGTACCTACTCTTCAGAACTGTAAACTGGAGGGATGATCCCCAATTTATAGACAATTTATAGACAGGCAAAAGGCTCAAGGAAGCTAAGTTACAGCTCAGACTGTCTGATGCCAAAGCCTAATCTCTTCCCACTACTAATAACGTGCATTCAGATTTCTAAGTCTTTCTCACCAGCTTTCCACACAATTAATTACTATGGTTAATCACAGGTATTAAGCCTGGAGCTTAAATGTTTCTTGTTGGAACTCAATGAACAAGCAAAGCAGGAAAAATATCCAGAAGCTCAAACACTTTAGTGGGTGTAATTCATATACCCTCCTTACTTACAGATCCTTGGGTAAACAAGGGTGGGTGTGTTAGTAACCGTCGGATTTGCTGGGTTAGAAATTATTTAGAAAAAGGGCACACAACCTGACTGTCTAGGAAATAATTCTAGATTCAGCTGCCTTAAAAATTTTGTTTTTTAATAGTTTGTGAATTGTTCACACATTTTTTCTCTTTCTGAGAAAAAATGGGACTAGGGAATAATTCTAGATCCAGCTGCCTTTAAATTTTTGTTTTTTTAATAGTTTGTGAGTTGTTCAGGCGTTTTTGCTCTTTTTGAGAAAAAAGACTAGAAGATAATTCTAGATCCAGCGGCCTTAAAATTTTAGTTTTTTTTTTTTTTAATAGTTTGTGAATCGTTCAGGCATTTTTCTCTTTTTTTGATGTCTCTTCTCTTCCTTGCTGGCATGGTTTTGACGAGCTCACTTGTTAAAAAGGAATAAGCTGGAAAGTCAAGAGGAGAGGAAACCAGGGAAGTTGCAAGCACCTTTGCACAGGTGTATATGTATATACATACATATATATGTAAGGGAACTATAGATATGTATGTGTATATATATAGTTCTTACCATGCCTTTCACTGCCTCCCTTCCCCTTTACTGCATTACCAGGTAAATTAAAAAGCTGCTTTCCCCTGGGTATGGTGAAAACCGTCATTTCAACGTATCTACATCCTTCCAGTCGCTCCCCCTACCCCCTTCCTTACTTTTATCGGGGCCTTCGGTATGGAGACTGCAGAAAGCCCACCAGTGTTGCGAACACCTGGCGAAGGGCAAGGAGCCTGGGCCAGAGATTTCACAGGGCTCGGGCGGGAAGCAGTGGGAAGAGCCTGCAAACGAGTGCTCCCGGTTCCCGGTTTCCTCTCCAGTACGGCTCTCGCCTTAAGCAGCCAAAGAGTGACTGTACAGCGAGTCAGACAGGCTCGTGGGTTTGGAGACCTTTTCATCTCCAAGGAAGAGGAGAGATGTGGACGGCCCAGACTTGCCCAGTGCCCACCCTCGCGGCCCCAGGCTCTCCTCTCGCGGTGCTAGATCCCCGGGAGTCAGAGGAGGGCGCAGCGCAGAACTCCCACGGGCCCCCCAGGCAGACACGCCCTCTGCCCACCGGGTGACGTCGGCCCCAGACTTTGGAAGCCAGCCTGAGTCAGAGGAAACGTCCTTCTCAGAGGGACTCGGGATTCTTCCCATAGCATTCTGAGTTTCCCAGTTCCACACGCAGCACGCGGTAATTTACACGGGTCGGCCTCGCGAATCGAGTGGGAATTTCATCTGCCTTATTCCACTCAGGTTCTCCAGCACAGCCCGAATCGCCTAGGCACCCCTAAGTAAGTGCTGAACGCCTGGCTGGACGGCCGACTGACCGAATGAATGAATGAGTGAACGACTACGTTAAGAGTCGGTACATCCCCCCTTCCCAGTCTCCGCCAAGTATCCGGGGACCGCCCACCCGGTCTCTCGGCCACCCAGCTGCTAGGTCCCTCGGCCCAGGGCAGACACAAACCTTCTTGGCAGGGCTCTCCAGGCGGCAGCCTCACCTGTGCCCCCATGGCCCCGGGAGGGGGCTTCCGGAACGCGGGCGCTGGCTCCTCACCTGGGCCTCTCCTCCACACGCACCCGCGGCGGACCGGGCTGCGGCGTCTAGGAATGGGGCGCCCTGACCCCGCCCCCAGAGCAGCCTCCGCCAATGGGCATGGCCAGGCGGGGCCTCAGCGCCAGCCGCGCCCCGGGGCCTGGGGCTTGCTGCGAATTCTCAGCGGCCCCACAGGCCTGGGGGCAGCCAGTGATAACTAGTGTATCTGGCAGGAGTAGCAGCTGCCCCTTGGCGCGGCTGCTGGAGCCGCGAACTAGAGAAACACAGACACGCCTCTTAGAGCAACTGCGTCTCTCGGAGCGTGGAGCCCGCCAAGGTAACTCCGGGAATTGAGTGGAGTGGAGGCTACGCTGAGGCCCCCTTCTGGCTCCTCTCTGGTCGAAAAGTCTCCCCGGCTAGACAGAGCTCTGCTGCTTTTGGAAGCCTTCAGATGTTAGTTGCTTTGCACCGAGGCTGCTGACCTCTGGTGTTCTGCGCGGATTGCCAGGCTCAAGTTTATTTTGGGGGCTGTAGAGCAGACTTTGCCCTTCTGTGCTGTTATCAGCTTCTGTCGCTGTCCGTCCACGCCCGCTATATCCATCCACTCCCCATTCCGTCTCCAGCAGGCAACTCCCGCTACCCTGCCCCATTTTCTGGGTCATAGAGATATTCGAAAGAAACCTTTAAGGGAAAAGCAATGCCCAAACTGGAAAGACCTATTCCCACAAATTATTAATAACTAATGTTTATGATATCCTTGTTATACCATACATATGTAGGCACATTATGTATTAAATCTCACAGCAATCTATTAACGCTCAGTTTACAGATGAGGGATTAGAGGCAAAGAGTGAGGTTAAGTAACCAAATCAAGGTTGGAAGACTTGACAGCAGGTATTTATGCAACAAAGAGTGAGCAGGGCTGCGGGGTAGCTCACGCCTGTAATCACCGCGCTTTGGGAGGCCGAGGCGAGTGGCTCTCTTGAGTCCAGAAGTTCGAGACTAACCTGGGCATCATGGTGAAACCCTGTCTCTACAAAAATTAGCCAGGTGTGGTGGTGTACTTCTGTAGTACCAGCTACTCAGGAGGCTGAGGTGGGAGGACGGATGGCTTGAGCCCAGGAGGTGGAGGCTGCAGTGAGACATGATCGAACCACTGCACTCCAGTCTGGGCAACAGAGACCCTGTCTCAAGAAAAAAAAAGGCGGGGGGTGGGGTGGCGGTGAACAATTCGGGCTCAAACCCTCACCAGGGAGAACTGGGGTGCCTTTGTGCTCTGGCATTTTAACACCGAGGAAAATATTCTCATGTACTCAGGTAGCCTTTGTTCTAGGTAGGCATGAACAGTGCTATTAATTTTATTACCTAAGAGTTTCATAGCAGAGGCCTCAATCTTGTTTTTCTTGTTCTTAGGCTGATGAGAGAAGAGCTAAGAACAAATTAGTCAACATACCAATCCAAGGCATCCACTTTTATAATACATGTGGATGACTTTGCAGAGAAGGAACACCATGGAGAGTGGAATAGGTGAAAGTTGAAAGCGAGGGAGATTTATGCCAATTTTCCATAACAAGCCTTAAAACTTAGACTTCTATTTAAACGTTTTCTTTGGATTTCCAACTTAAAATTTTGTCTTTATCAAAGATTGGTAATGATGGTAAATGTGATCTAAGGTGCTTATTTTTTATTTAACAAACACTTGGATAGCATTTACTATGTGGCAAGCACTATTCTAAACTCTTTGTAAATATTTACTTTGTAAATCTTCATGAAAATCCTTTAAGGTCGATACTGTTACCCCCACTTTACAGCTGAGGAAATGGAGCCACACAAAGATTAAGTAACTGGCCTATGCACACATAGCCAGTAAGTGTGGAACTGAGATGCTAACCAAGAAAGTTGGGCTTCAAGTATGTGCTCTTAACCCATTTGGTAATTGGACATTAAAAAATAAAACTAAAACAGACTTTAAAAAATGTATCTTTATTTAATTCCAGTTGCATATTAAGGTCTATTTTAGGTAAGAGGTATTTTGTTGTAGTTCTTGCTTTTCAATTCTGAAAATAAAGAGAAAAACATTCAGAAAAAAATATTTAAACTTATTTAAGACCACTGTTTTTCCAGTTTAAATGTTGCCTAGCAGAAATTTAAAATGTATATTTTCCTTCATTGACAATTTCTAGATGACTTTGGAGATTACCGTTATAGTACCACACACTGTCTTTAATGACATAAATTTGGAGGATATTTATTCCCTCCCAAAAGCATGTTGTTTGTTTAACTAAAAGAAGAACATTAGAAAAATCTCCAACTTACCTATTCTTTGATTCTAGGAAAATTCCTCTTCTGACTCAAAAATTAGAATGCAATAATAAATGAGACCCTCTAAAATGCCAACTTCTGTTTTATTGGTCTTTGTGCTAGGACACTTAGACCCGGGGGTGATGGTCAAAATAAATAATGATCAGTAGAGCCTTAGGGCCTCAAGGGACAAGGCCACAGGTCTTTAGAGCTTGGGGAGGTCTGGGAGGGTTCCTGCTGTGTCAAGGTTAACCCCTGAGTTGCTACATTGTTGGGAGGTCTGTGGTTTCTGTGGCTAAGAATAAGATGACTAGGCAAGAGGGGTGGTAGCTGGGGAATAGAAACCACCTTTGCAAAAATTGTATCACTGAGAAAATTTTAACAGTAAGCTGAGCTAATTCATCCTCCATCTTGCCTTTCCCTTAATTATTGCTGGGTTATTGGGATGTGAAAGGAAAATAAATCTTGGAGCCCCCAAATCACTAAGCTAAAGGGAAAAGTGAAGCTTGGAACAGCTTAGGGCCAACCTGCCTCCTATTCTGTTCAAACTCACACCTCTGCTCACTGACATAAATGCATATCTGATTGCCTCCTTTAGGAGGCAACTCAACTAGCCTTAGTCAGAAACTCAAAAAAATGCAACCATTTGTCTCTTATCTACTTATGACCTGGAAAGCCCCATCCCTGGTTCCAGTATTCCTGCCTTTGCTTTGAGTTGTCCTGCCTTTCCAGACAGAACCAATGTTCATCTTGCATGTATTGATTGATGTCTCATATGTCCCTAGAATGTATAAAACCCAACTGTGCTCTGATCACCTTGGGCACATGTCATCAGGACCTCCTGAGGTTGTGTCATGGGGTTGCATCCTCAACGTTGGCAAAATAAACTGTAAATTAACTGAGACCTGTCTCGAATTTTTGGGGTTCAAATTTTGGTAACCACAGAGGGATTCTGAGTGGAGATGTCCCTGACCTTTGACAAATCTCCTATCAGTGCTTGGTACCAGCATGAGCTAATTTTATGACTCAAACCAATAGGACAATTTGCTGAAGTCTGAGAGCATCCCCTCCAGAGATTTCCCCGAATTTGGTCAAGATCTAAATTTTATTTTGCTGTACAACTCCTCTTTTTTGGAGTTTTACTTGCTTCCATCAAGAAAGACACATTTCCTGTTTCTATGACGTTGGAAGGCAGGTGACTCCTTTATGGAGTTTGGCTCACTTCCAACAGGGAAGAGGAGTAGTTTTTTTTTTTTTTGTATTTTATTTTTTATTTTTTGTTGTTGTTGTTGTTGTTTTCCTGCTTCTTGAATGGTAGAGAGCAGTCTATAGCCTGAGACTTGTCCCTAGGTAAGTAACTGAATTGGGGTTGGTCTTGGTTAAAGTTAAGATTAACAACCAACTGGTCTTAATTTCTCGTTACCATTAGAACACTCAGTGATCATATAAATTGTGCCATTGTTTGTTTTGCTTAATTGTTTTTGTTGTTGTTGTTTATTTCTGTTTTTTATTGTTGCTTTGGTCTTTTTCCCATTGGGTTTGATCAACTCTATCCAACTTGATCAAATCCAAAGGAAAGTTCCAAACTGTGGGGAAGAAGGCCCGAGAAGTGGCTAAATTCTAAAAAAAAAAAAAAAAAAAAAAAAAAAAAAAAAAAAAAAGGTGGTGTGGAGGGGAGGAAAAAGGAAAAAAAAGAGGAAAGATTTTTGATTTTGACTACTAAAGGGACTTTATTTACATAAAGCCACCTTTTTGTTAGCCAGGCCAAACTGAAAGCAATGGCTGTCCTCCCACACTGCTAAGGTCCCACCTGATAGCTAAGGTTGTGCCTCTTTTCTTTGTTTCCTACCAAAACAGCCCTGGGTTTGGTTCCTAAATCAAGCCCATTCTGGTTTGATACTTGGTACTTCTGAAATAGCAGCAATTTGTCCTAGCTGAAATATAGTGAGGACTAAACTGATTTTTTTATCTTGCTCAAATTCCTGTTTAAAGTGTCTGCGGAGTCATGTCCTACAAATCATAAATTCTTATCATAAGGGTTTTATTTAAGCCTATATATCGTGATTTATTTTCCAATCTGACTCTGACATAACATTTTGAGACAAGGAAGAAAAGCAAAATTATTTTACCCTAAAACACGTTTCTTTGCCATATCTTGAAATGGCCCTGCAAAGCGGTTCTTTGTAGGGGAGAATTTGCATCTTTAAAGAATCTCTGTTAACATAGCTAGATCTTTTTCTTCCAGATCCTCCCGATCCTAAAGCGATTAACTAAGATCTGAATAGGAAACATTTGTCATCTATTGTCTCTAAGGGCCGCCACTATTAAGACTTCAAAAGAACTTTGGTCTCCACAATCTTTATCTTAATCCAAACATTCCCTTTCTATGAATCCCATGTCTTTAGGCAAACTCAACCAATTATCAACCAGAAAATGTTTAAATTGGCCTACAGCCTGTAAGCCCCCCCACACCCACCTAGTTTTGAGTTGTCCCACCTTTCTGGACCAAACCAATGTATTTCTTAAATGTATTTAATTGATGTCTCATGCTTCTCTAAAATGTGTAAAACCAAGCCACGCCCTGACCACCTTGGGCACATGTTCTCAGGACCTCCTGTGGGCTGTGTCATGGGCCATAATCACTCATATTTGGCTCAGAATAAATCTCTTCAAATATTTTAGAGTTCAACTCTTTTCACTGACAATAGTAATGAGATTTAAAAAGATTTTTTTTAAAAAAGGAACTCAATGGTTAAAAGTCA